AGAGTTAATTATCGCTGACCTAAAAACATTTTTGATAATTTTAGATGTGCGGGTAAGGAAAATCACATCGGATTTGATCTGACAAAAGTGGACATCTTTCGAAGTTTTGTTTTTTTTAACTAGTTGTAGCAGTAAATCGGTTTACAACTAAATCGGCGACATGGTCTAAAGTCTGGAACGTCTACGTAACGCTCAACAAAAAAACATTGATAATGACCCCTCTTAAACTTTGGAGTTTAAACGGTTCAATGTATAGCATTATATTATAATACAATCGAATACAAAAATAGAACGCTATTCCCAATAATGACCGATATAGATAATGCGATGCGTGCGCGTATCCATCTATATCTATTAAACGTATTATACATGTATATGTATATATTTTTTTATCATAGGAGAAAATATAAAAACGGTGCTTATAATAATACACTTTCGACGACCGCCGACGATAACCCCCGGCATGACGTCGCGGCTCGTATTTCCCGTCTTTTCACCGGATCATCCTCGAATCATTAATAAATACCAAATGGAAATACACGTTACACAAAGAATAGGAACCATTAATCTTCGACCGACCGATATATTATTGTGTATGTGTATGTGTATATGTGCGAAAAATCATCGGCCGCCCCCGCCGAAATATGCAACGGCGTTGTTGTACACACAGTAAAGTATAAGTATAAGAGCCATGGGGGGGGGGCAAAGAACTCTTATACGTGCGGGTGAAAATTTTATACAAAATTAATATTACTCCGACCAGCAGTCTTGAGCAATTGACGATTGTTCCATCACGACCGGCACACATTACATTCAGGTCCGGTTTTTAAAAAAAAATTTTAAAGGCAACAATCGTCCAGGGATTTATACGCAGAGCCGTTTACAATAATTCTTCTCACTATTATTATTATTATAGGCATTTCCGCCACCGACAAATCTGTATACATATAGTTTATATTATTATTTTGTTGCAACGACAATAATAAGCGCGGTACACGCGGGGAATAAATATGATTTTTATTATACATTATGATATACAATCGTTGTTTGTAAATGGAATTCTACCGTGTTTGCCTTTCCCACAGAAACATTCGACACAGTGCAGAAACCCGTCTTCTCACTTGCTTTTGTACCGCCGCCCGCGGAGGAAGACACTATCTGTGCTCTCTCAATAAAAGGGATCCACAGCCCTGAGAAAGAGAGAGAGAGAGCTAAGGTCATTCGAGGAATTCCCGCACTGTATAAACCACCGATAGGATACACCTCATCGCCGCGCTGGTCCTTACTATATATTATAAATCACACGATTAATGGGGCGACACTAACGCCGGGTTACCGTGTATGACCGGAAATAATATCGGCCGAATTGCTTAAAGCGTATAACGAAATCGCACTTAATAAATTATATCGCACGCACTCGGACCGGAAGGTAAGCGTTTACCGTCCCCCCTCTTCCTCGAAAATTCTGAGAAAGCCGTTTAAGAAGATATTTCAAAAAAGGTTAGGTTAGGTCCATTTGTTGAAAAATTGAGTAATTACCGCACTCATATTTACTACTACGGGGAACCCCTTAACCGTGTTTTGAATTTGAGGTTTTATTGAATTTTATTACACCGTTCAAAAGCCTCAGTTGGGATTTCTAGTTCCCCTAATTTAACCAAATCAGGTCCAATCTTACAAGTAAAAGTGCAAGAGTCGAGTTACAGCAATAACTCGCTGTATATTGTTTTAATCAAAAACTGTTCTTCGTAGAAAGATAGAAACGCATACAAAACAAAACGTGTAAGGGTATATTATAGCCGGATCGACCCTATTGCATAGCTAACTTGGTATTTATATTTATACATAATTTTGGAATTATCAGTCGGACGGCGCGGCGACGGTAAAAAAATTTGATGGAATGCCGCCGTCTACATGTTGTTATTATTATTCGTGTCCAGTGGACCGTAGTCCCAGGATTGTACTGCACTCGAGGAAATCGGAAAACCCGAATAATTGTACATACTTAAATGTATATATATACATACACACATAGGATGTACAAGCACACAGCAGCAGGATACGGCTAGCTCACGCTTAATATCTAGGCGGTATCGGTCGCAAGGGTGGCGAGCAGGTGCGCTCTCTCCGTCTGTTATAATATATTATTATAACGCGTTTGTCTATATAAATATATCTATAACTATGTGTATAAAATATGGCCACCAACACCTCTGCCAGAACAGAACCGACCGATGAAGCAAGACGACAGCAGTGACAACACAGATCCTCCACGTCCTCTGCGCGTTTCCCGTACCGCACCGATGGGTCGAGTAGAACAATACAAAAACGAAAAAAGGACACACACACACAGAGTTTTCATAAATACTCATCGTCGTCGTATGTAATTTGTACACCATTGTATACAGCACAGTACATACGAGGTATATACCCCCCCTCCCCATAAGGTAAACGTATTAAAAAATAATATATATACATACACATACGGGGATAATGATGACAACGGGGATTTGTTGTTACTCTCTCGTTATCATCATATTATTATACTATATTCTTTTTTTTAATTCTTCCACACAAAACAAGACAAACAACAAACGTACACTGCAGAGTAGACGGCGACGTCGGTCTTAAAAAACGGATGTACGATCAATGGCGGGGAACGACTTTGAAATGAATCGTCTTCTTTTTTTTTAGGGATGCCCAATGTCTTACCGATGTCGTGCCGAGGCTCTGGGGGCATGAGGGGGTATGCGTCCTCCTACTTGAGAAAAACAACATCATCTACGCGGCCGTTTTATAAGGTGGCGACACGGGTATGACTTTGCTCTGTTGCGTTACACATTATTATAATAATATTATTGTAGTAAGTCGAAGAAACCGGTCGCCGACGGTGGTAGTGATTTTCGCGTTTACAGAGAGAATGTGCAGTGTGCTCGTCGTACGGCGGCCACGACCAAGCCCTTCTTCGCACAACACCATTATTATTTCCAACGCTGAATTCCCAGAGCAGTACTTACATACACACACAGATAGATAGGTACATACATTTCATAAACGGCGCTTTTGATTTACCTACCACCTACAACGCCTACTTCTACCGAATTTGCCGGGTAATCCGCCCCCGGGGTTGTATAATTAGACGCCACAATGTATATTATTTTGTTTCCAATAAAACGCTCGAATCCTCAATAAGGATAATACACATCGCCCAAAGGATTCCCACGCCTCGCAACAAACGTAAAATATATAATATATGTGCTTACATAGGTCTACAAAATCGAATACAAATTATTATTGTAAAAAAAAAAACCACCTCAATTCTTTTTCCGTTTTTGGCAGCAGATTTGCACTTGTCCGCGGGGAAACAACCGTTGTCGTCTACCTATTGTTTACATTTTGGAACACACACATGGTAAATGATATCCGACACAAGAAATTATGCGGACTTCACGTATGCCCACCGAGCGAAATTTATTCATTTTAATAAAAAAAATTAAAAACAAAAAAAACCATCCATTTTTTTTATTTTTATTATTTTTATGATGTTTTATATTGCATTCCATTGACCTCTTAGTCGGCCAACAGACAATAAAATAATCACGATAAACAATAATGAAAAAAAAAACTGTTTGTATTTTATTTATATCCTATGATAATGAAAGGGTTACATTATGTTGTACAAGCGACGCGACGGTAACAATAATTATTGAAAAGGGTTAAGCGTCTGTCTGTCCGCATTCGTCGTAATTCATGTTCGGGGAACCTTATAATTTCCAATAAAATGTATATTATATAAATTTCACCCCGTTTAATTCTTCTCTATACAAGTTTCTTTATAATACTAGTATCAACCAATAATTATTGGGTATCGACGAACGATGTGAACTTGAAAAAGGGTCAACCAGGAGAGCCGAATGTGCTGCTTACAATTTCCGGGACAAAGCAGACTTTTTTTTTTGGTTTATAGAAATAGCAAAACGGATGCTCTCGGGGGGTGAGAAAATTAAAAAACCTACAGCAACGGAGAATGCAAAGTGTGGATAATAAGTAGAGAAGTATTTAATTGCCGGGAAACCGCGATAACAGATAACGTCTGTTGACTGTTTCCCAAAGATGACATTTTGACAATATTTGACTTGAGGGAAAATCAATCAGCATTTTACTTTTTGACGGCCACTAAGTTATAGTCAAATAATAGGAGTAAAATATTCCAACATAATCAATTGTACTTTAGGGGAAAAAAACTATCAAGGCGATTCGAGGTAAATAAATGATCAGCGGAAGTGTTCAGCCAAGTACTATGTACTTTTTATAAATCAGAACATGCTGGGATCCGAATGGGAAAAAAATATTTTTTCAAGTCGACTCGAGAAGAGCAAATATGATAATAATATTGCCACTTAGTTTCTAAATTCTAATTTAACACAAGACAGCCCAGGTTTTCCCGTTTATCAGACATCTAAACACAGGTCGAGACACGTGCGGCGATTACCGAGAATTGAAACAAAACAAAACGCAACAATAAACCGCCGAAGGGTATTTTTGCTTCTTCTATCTAAACATTTGTTGAGACTACTATTTTCGGCCGATAAACGGGGAAAACCGTGGCGGGTCCTAAAAGCGTGACCTGATATACGTTGTAAAAGGGGTGTAACAGGCCGTGTGGACAACACCACATTAAACGGTCATCGAAAACTCATCAACACACACACACACATTGGCACGGGGTTGTAGTAACGAGAAAGGGAGCGATAATAATTAGCGGCGGAATTTCCAAAACACACACACACAAACCCCCCCCCCCAAAAAAAAAAACTCTGGGATGCACACCCTCGGATCGTTTAAAAAAAAAAATTATATTTAGACTTGCAGGGCTCGTTTGAAACGTACAGGTGGTAATCGGGCGCGTGTGGCGCTTTATAATCACGGAGAAGGGGAAATAATGAGGCGGTAATTAATTTAAAATAAAAGTCTAAAAAAATCCTTTCAAAAAAACTCACCTTAATATCTAGTTAAGTATTCCGGCCGTTCGTGGACGTTCTATTCCGGGAAAACACGCTTCGAGCTGACGACGATTTCCCGGCTAAGTAAAACTACAAATTAAATGAGTTAATAATCCTCGGACTTAAGTGGACCGAACCGACGGTCGGCGGTGGCGCAAACCGGTTTGAATAATTTTTTTATTTTATTTTTAATTATTATCAGTTATAGCCGGTAACGGACCACGGCAGCCGTTTCGAACACCGCACACGCTCAAATCGAATAATAATAATAGTAAAAAAAAAACAACTTGAGTTTCGCACTTAATCGAATCGTATGTTAAACATAACAGAATTGATTTACAATTAAATAAACGATCACTGTAGGCCGCGTGCCGAAATCGGTTGAACTGTGATGGCGCACTAAAAAAACCACTCGACGACGACAACGACGGTGTCTGAACGAGGCGTCGACGGAACGCATTCGACGGCACACCAAACAGAACTGAAGAGCTGCCGCCAGCCGCCTGCCGGTTGGGCCCGTGGCCGTCCGGTCCGGACGAGCGCTGCGGCGGCGGCGGCGGATAACGAGTCGACGGATCGCCAGTGCGTTATAGCCGTCGAACAGCGGTCCGACCCCCATTTTTGGTTTTTGATTTTTTTTTTTTGCAAATAAAAATATATTAAAAATAAAAACGGCCGGGGCTTACAAGCAGAGTTGAGCAAATTCTTATTCGAATAAAACGTTATTCGATAATTATTTTTCAATATTATTAAATTACCCAACATTTACCTAATATTTAGTATTTTCCAGAGCCTATACCTTTCAGTAGAACTCGATGGTAACGTTCAATTTTTAAATTAACATATGTATTTATATTATAGTGTTGCTGATATTGTAATCATAATGGTTTTTAAACGTCATAAAAGAATGAATAATCTATTAATGTTTTAGGATTTTTGAGGTTTTTATTTTAGGAAAGCGGATTTATTTCGACACAAACAATTTACATTACGGTCTTTTTTTCACGTTTATGTTTTTATGGAAATAAAATCATTCGCTATCAATCAAATTACATTTTGATTTCTGCGCTAAAAGCGAATAACAGTTTTACTTTTTCTTATTTTTAATTATCGTAGGTCGAGGGAAGATAAGTTCAACTGTACAGAATATACATATATACTTATATACATATATGTATTTAAGTTGGAACATGCACTTATGTTAAACCATGGACATGAATTGGACGAGGAGGAGGGTGATATTTAATTAATGTTTGTTTTTTGCATTATGAAATGTAAGTAGAAATCACGATACGGACTTACACGCGAATGTCGAAAAACCAAAAGTAATTTGGAAGTCGTATTTACATGCCATTACAATATTTTTATTATACCGTCTGTGTTGGGCGTGAACTAATTAAACATAAAGTCTTACGATTTAATTGTGCAGTGAGCTGTTAATTTGTGTAATGTGACTGTTGGAGTTCAATGTTGGCCAACGCATTATTATTATATTATTTCATTTTTTTACGGAAACGTGCGCTTTTATCGAGTGCGACGATTACGCGGAAAAACACTTTAGCCCGAGTACAAGTACACTGTACAAGAAGTATATATTTTTTTCTTATTTTTTTACTTTTAGTTTTTCGGACTCCTGCTGTTTACCGTCAACGCCAAAAACCGTATACAGTTTAACAGTGTGAGAAAATGGGCCACCTTTCACCCTCATAATATGGTCGGCCAACAGGAAGAAAAAAATTAAACTCAACCGACGCGACGCCTACAACAATGTAGAAGCCATTTTGCAATTTGTAATATTATTTTTCTGTGGCTTTTGTTGTGGGCTTATTTGAATAATTTCGTCTGTAAATAAAATTGCTATTTATAGGATTTGAAAATAAAATGTAAACGGCAACATAAATAGCCGAGGAAGTGGATTTCTGACGCGATTTATGGGTAATTAAAATGTAAATTACCTAATGTAAAATAATCAACAAAAATAGCAAATATCAAACAAGTTATTAGAATAACATTGACTGAGTCAGAATTAGCCAATCTTGGCTTTGTATATAATTACAGGTACAATAATATTCGACCGTTTTTAATAAGTACCAAAATACATTATTTTTTTTAGATTATTTTTGCTGAATTCTAATCTGATATTTGAATTAGCCTAACACTACTAGTTATTGTTTAAATCGAATACAACTTAGTAAAACCGTAGTTTTGAGGTATTTTCAGTGCGTTCTTGAAAAATCTTAAAAATGCAAGTAGAGCTTTTGTTTTACTTACTTTGCTAAATTCAATACTAATATAGAATTTTATTTACACAAAATAGTATAATAAAATTCTGATTTTGGTTTTGTACATTTTTTACAACTTTTGAATTGATCACAAATCTAAATAAGTGGTTTTCGTTACAAAATTATGTTCCACACTTTTATTTGTGTAATTGACAATTAATTTCACATTCAACTGGGAAAATTTCTATTTGAACAGATTATAATTACATTTGCACACTAAATATTTACCGGATTTTATCATTTTAACTTAGCCTAGTGAGGTCAAGTTAAAAAAAAAATATCTTAAAAAAAACTGATTAATAATATTTCAGTCTCAAACTTAAGTTTAACAATAAAGCGATTATAAAATGTGGTAGAAAACCTATTACGTTTCGAGTGTAAGTGATTAGTTTATTAAGTATTAGGGTTCGGTTATGCAAGAAAACGAGAGGACTTGAAGATGTGGTGTCTGACGAGTAGTATTGTAATTATGAAAGGATTTGACTAGCCTTTCCATTTTTTAGGCCAAGAAAAATATATAATAATTATTCTAATCGATATTTAGATATATATTTTTATAGCAACTCATTAACGCTCGCGAGAGGTATTTTAGTTTTAAAAGAAACTGAATTTGTATGTAACATTTCCAATAGTTGGGGTAATATTATATGTGTAACGATAATAATATGGTAGTTTTAAGTATACCTATTAAGCTACATATTGTATTGAAATCATAACATATTATTCGTTTGTTTTGGAAAATACCAAAAAAAAAAACGTTTATCGACCTATGTTATTACGGACGATAAAGTTGATTAAATGGTTTAGATATAATAGTGTGTAATATAATTTCACAGATATAAGAAAAAAAACAATTTTAATGTTCAGCCTAACCAGTTGTTAAAAATTCTATTCGGGATTCAAAATACATTCAGTTTGTTCACCAACCAAAAAAAAATATTATATTTTAAATTGTAGGGAAGCAAGCAATTGTTTTAAAAAGTGTGTATAGTATGTATACAAAAAAAAAAAAGGTACTAACGTCCTAATTGGAGTGAAAATAATATACTTACATATATATTTTACAAAAATGCATCTTTACAAAACATTCTCATGATTTAGGTAGAAGTATGTAAGTCGTTTAGGGGTTGATGTTTAAATTACTATTATTCAAAACAAAGAGTATTATGAAACAAAAAGAAAAGTATTATGGGGGTATGTTTTAATATAATTTATAACGCAAAAACAACACTCGATATTTTTTCTGGGGGGGGGGTGAAATAATACAATTTGTTAAAAAGATAACAATCTTTGTATTTTAACGACAAACCGTAGAAGAAAAATACAAAAGGCGGCGAAGAAAAATAAAATGTTTATTAAAGAAAAAGAAATAATGCGTTTGATATCGTTGCTTATTAAAGAGCTCATTTAGTATTTTTTTTTTTTCGTCGAGTGATATTTTAAAGTCAAAACTTAATTAGTTCACCAAATTAACAGGGGAAAAAAAGTAAAAAAATTGCACAACCGTCTACTCCTATATTATAATTATTACCCGCGTAACCTTTATTTGACGTGTTTAAACGTAATAATAATGTTTTTGGCGTTAATGTATCAATTTTTTTTGCTGTAAGACAAACAAAAAACATTTTCCATTTAAGTTAAAAACTCAACTGTAGTAACGTCCGTTGCCGTAGTCGTTTCCAGCATCGTCTTACATTATTATAATAACATTTTATTATAAGATCAATTTGGTCGTTCGCTGCCGCTTTTCAGCGCCTTAGACGATAGACTTTAATGAATATGTTTCGACAACTTTTCGGACTATTATACAAGTTTAATCATAACCGGCAAGTTTTTTACTTAGGCTCTACACCGCTTACACCGTACCGTGTCAAAGCAACCGTGAAAAGCACTATACCATTTTTGTCGGTGCTCAGCCGTCTAGATATTACATAACATCATATAATATGCAGTTTTCATACCTACTTTGAATATTATTTTTGTTGGTAGTAAAAAAAAACCGGTACAAATAGATACGAGATAGTCTAATTAGTAAAAAAAAACACAATTTTAAATTTAACCAATTAACTGAGTATTATTTCAATCGGATCGTTATTTCATTTAAACATAAAACATATCATCCTGTACCCGTTTTTATGTACATGATATTATTATTATGTATCGTTTACAATTTAACTGTACTTTATAGCTTCTCATCGGTGACCTGTACCTAAGTACACGGGGACACTAAATAGTAGATCCAACTAAAATTATGGTTAATATAGGGACACAATAAATTTCTAGTTGGCCTAACAAAATGTATAGTTGCTTCAACTAAAAATTGTGTTTGGCCAATTGTGTATTTTTTCCATGCACTCGATCGTATTTAAATTTTCAATTGCAAATCCGCGTTAACCTGTTTTATAATAAATATATATCTGCAAAATAAACCTTTGCCGCTTATTTCAATTTTATATACATATTATTCAGATTTATTAATGTATTTTAATTCAATTTTTTGATTATAACGTCAACATTTTGTAAGCGTGTAAAAATATAAAACTGATTAAATCTGATTACCGCGATGAAAGAATATATTATTGCGGGTCCCCCGGGGCAATTAATTTTACTTTTTAAGAAAAAAAAACAAAAAGATAATACGTTGAAACGTCGTCGAGAATACGATGACAAATATTTTTGGAGAGCTACCAAAAAACAGTCCATCCAAGTCGTCCGTAGTAATGATCCAAATAACAACACAGAAGATCTTGTTTGCACATGCATCTCATAACATTGTTTAACGACTTACAAATATTATTGTTATTATTATTTTAACGCGGCAAGGCGAAAAAAACATGTCCGAAATTATATTTTATAACGCGAAATATAACCACATGGTATCTGTTCGGGCGCTGTTAAAGCTGCCTGCTACACGTGACAACCATTAATACTTTTCTCTTCTAAGTATATATACATTGTACAGAGCACAGACCTCACATATACTGTTGTTTTAATTACTTTTTTTTTTGTCGTTTAATCGTATCCATTTGTTCCTGATTCAACGGTACGGCGACACTATGTCATGTTTTTTCATTATAAAACTGATAGCTTACTCGATGGTTTTAAAGCACTTAAGTCCCTGCGATTATCTTGCGCGTGTCCGCCGTTTAAAAACATCAAGTGTCCCATAATTTTGAAAATACGACTTGGCCAT